TTAAATTTTGCCCCCAACATTTTGGGGGGGTATTTTTTTTCCCCCGGGTCGGGGCCCCCGGATAAACCCCCGGTCGGCCCCTTTTTGGCCCAAAATTAAACCAAATTTTAAAAAAAATGGGGGTTTTTTAAAAGATTTTAAATTTCCTGTTAACAATTTTTAAAAGGTTTCCACGATTTTTTTCGAAAAATAATTTTTTTAAAATTAAAAAAAATTTGCTTTCAAAAACTGGGGGGGGGCTCGCAAAGGGGGGGGTTTTAAACCCACCCCAAATTTTTTCCCCCAAAAAAAAAAAAATTTATTAAAATGAAAGAAAAGCTAAAAAGTTTTTTAATTTTTTGAAAAAATTTTTTAAAAAACCCTTTTAATTTTTTTAAAAAAAAAAATTTTAAAAATTTGTTTCAAACGTCGACCCTTCCCGGTCAGGGGATTTCCCCTTTTTGGGTGGGACCCCGGGTTTTAAAATTTTGGGGAAAATTTAAATTTATTAAAAAACATAAACAAAAAACTGAAATAAAAGATCTTTATTATGAACAATATTTCGAAAGCTAAATTTTTTCAGGTGTTTTGGTAAAATGGAGTGCCAGTACAGGTTCGTCCTGGTCATCTTCCTGTTCAGTCAGTGGTCCGTCGCAAAACCCCTTGTAGCTGAATAGTGCGACTTTTAATATTCACTCACTAACACGAAAATTTATCAAAGGAATAGGTATGATTTTTTCCATCTACTAAAAAATTATTATTGCACTTTGAATCTTTTGAACGCTTTAGGTTCAATTTTGTGGGTTGGCTTGGTGGTCAGGATGATTCTCGCTTTGGGGAAGTGGCCTGGTTCAATCCGGTCGAGCCCGAAAATCTATTTTACTTCAGGCAAATGTAACACAATATCAAAAATAAAAATGCAAACGCGAAGAATGCTAATAAGATCTTTAATTCTATTTGAACAATGTATTTTGAAGACGTTTTCAAATTTTTATTCTAAATTGCTTCACAAACAATTCAACATTTGCTTACTAACCGCAACGAGGCTCGGTGGTAGGGTATGATTCTCGCTTAGGGTGCGAGAGGTCCGGGTTCAACTCCGGTAGAGCCCAGAAATCTATTTTTACATCAGGAAAATGTAACACAATATCAAAAATAAAAAATGCAAACGCGAAGAATGCTAATAAGATCTTTAATCTATTTGAACATGTTTTTTAACAAGACGTTCCTCAAGTTTTATTCAGTAAATTGCTTTCTACAGTAACAATTCACATTTGCTTACTAACCGCAACGAGGCTCGGTAATCAAGGGGTATGATTCTCGCTTCGGGTACGAGAGGTCACGGTTTCAATTCCGGTCGAGCCCATTCAACCTAGTCGTTTTAAAAAAACTCGGTTTACTGTTCTTCTCTTGTTTCCTTTTCAAAAGAATTTTAATAACCCTGGAGTAAGCAAGGTATGAATTTGTTTTCCATTTAATGGGAAATTATAATTGCTGACCCGGGAAATTCTTAAGAATATTTGGGTCGGGACCTGCAGGGCCCTTCGGTGGTCTAGGGTACGTTTCTCGCTTTGGGTGCAGGGGTCCGGGGTTTTTAAACCCGGTCGAGCCGAAAATCTCTTTTTCCTTCATCCCACAGCAATATCAAAACGATAAAATACAAATGCAAAGAATGCCTTTTACCTTCTAAAAAGACTTTTAATGTATTTGAAAAAGGCAAGACGTTCCTACAAGCTTTTATTAATAATTTTTTCAACATAAAGTTGAATATTTTTTTAAAAAAACCCCTAAAAGGGTTTTGGGGGTCTGGGGTTATTTCGCTTGGGGTAAGGTTGTTTTTTCTAATTTTTTTTCGTTTGGGAAACATTTCTTTGGTCTTTCCCACAAAAAATTTACCCCGAGCCTTTTAAAAAAGGGCAAGCAAAGTTCAAAGCCCTTAAACTAAAAAAATTTCGGCGCACGTTGCATTTTAAATTTTTTTTCCTAAAAAGTTCCCTTTGTTTTTAGGGAAGGGGTCCAGGATTTGGGGAGTTTCCCTGGTTCCCAAATTCGGGGGGCCCTTCGACAAAACCCCGGTTTAATGTCCTTTTTTTCCTTTCAAATAATTTTAAATTTTCCCGGGTTAAAAAGGTATGTTTTTTTCCATTCCCCGGGAAAAAATTTTTAAATTGCTTTCCCGGAATTTTTTGAAACCCTTGGGTCAGGGGTGTGGCCGGGGTCGGGAGGTATGATTTCGCTTTGGGTGGAGACCCCGGTTAAAACCCGGTTGCCCGAAGGTTCTTTTCTTCAAAAAATGAAAACACAATTTTAAAACTAAAATAAAGCAAAAGTACTAATAAGACTTTAATTATTTGAAAATTTTTCCAAGACGTTCCAACAAATTTTTTATAAATTGTTTTTTAAAAAAAATTACAATTTGTACACCAAGAGGTTCGGGTCTGGGGTAGGATTCTTTTGGGGTCACCCGGGGCCCATTGCAACCATTTTTAAAAAATGGTTTACTTTCTTGCCCAAATGTTTTTTAATTTTAAAAAAGAATTTTTTTTCCATTTTCCGGGGAAATTATAAATGCTTCCCCCGGAACCCCCAAAACCTTTACCCAAGACTCTCGGTGGTTAGGTATGATCTGCTTGGGCGAGAGGTCCCGGTTAAAAACCCCGGTGCCCCAAAAAATTTTTTTTCCCTTCTCCAAAGTGTAACAGCAATACAAACGATAAAAATAAAATCAAAAAATGCCTTTTACTGTTAATAAGACTTTAATGTTTTAACAAGTTTTTTCCAAAGTTCCTACAAGTTTTTGGTTAATAATTGCTTTCAACCCTAAAGTTGACTTTTTGGAAACCCCCCCAAAGGGGATCGGTGGTCTGGGGGTATGTTTCCCCCTTTTGGGTGCGGGGGGTCCCGGTTCATTTTGAAAAAAAATTTTTTTCTTGGAAAAACCCAAAATTTAAAAAAAAAAATGCCGCGGAATTAAAAATTTTTAAAACCCCCTTTTTAACAAGTATTTTTGGTCTTCCACACAGGAATTTTAAAAATTTTTTCCCCGAACCCCAAATTTGTTTAAAAAGAAGATTCCGGTGGCTGGGGGTATAAATTGTTTTGGGTGCGGGGGGTCCGGGTTCAAACCCCGGTGGAGCCCGAAAATCTCTTTTACTTCATAATTTAAAGCAATATCAAAAGAAAAAAACAAATAAAAAGAATGCCCTTTTACTGCTAAAAGCCCCATTTAATGTTTTGAACAAGTTTTTGCAAGACTTTCCCTAAGATTTTTTGGTTAATAGATTGCTTCAACATTAAAGGAATTTTTGGGTTAAAAACCCCCAACGGGCCGGTGTTCTGGGGGTATGATTCTCCGCTGGGTGCAGGGCCCGGGTTCAAATCACGGTCGACCCTTAATTTTGCCTGAAAGGAACGCGATTTCGTTTTTTTCGTTTCTAACTAAATTTTTTGGCGGGTAGCTCAGTGGTTAAGGTACCCCGGATCGGGCAGGCATGTCGAGTTGAGCCCTGCAAACTAAAGCCCCGGGCCGTATAGGGCGCGATGCACGTTAAATCTGTCGAGAGCGAAATATCCGCCGTTGGTGGGGTGTGTTAGGAATGGGGTGCCCCCCAGATGTCATCCACGTCATTGACATGGTTAAAAATTACGGGTCCGTCCCCAAAAGCCCTCGAGTAGCTGAACAGTGCGACGTTAAAATTTAATCAATCAACCAACAGATTTTTAATTACACAGGTTTAAATTAGGTACGATTATTTTCCACCTACTGAAATATTATTGTTCCATTTCCCTCAGAATCTCTTTTGAACGCTTAGGTCAATCATGTATGGTGTGGCTCGGTGGTCTATTATTATTATTTTCGCTTTGGGTGCGAGAGGGCCCGGGTTCAAATCCCGGTTGAGCCCGAAGTTTTATTTTTACTTCAGCCAAATTTAACACAATTACAAAATAATAAAAATGCAAACTCGAAGAATGTGCTAATAAGATCTTTAATTCTATTTGTGTGAACAAGTATTTCGTGCGCAAGCATTTTTAAAGGGGTTTTTTTCGAAATTGCTTTTTACAGTAAAATTCACCATTTGCTGGGAAAAACCGTAAGAGGTCGGGGGCTGGGGGTATTCGCTTTGGTGTGAGAGGTCCCGGGGTTTCCCAAACCCCTCGAAATTTAAAACTCTTTTTATTATCCAAGTGTAACAGCAATATCTAAACGATAAAAATACAAATGCAAAAAAATGCTTCAAATGTTTTACCAAGACTTTTACGATTTTTTTTTAAATAGGTTTTTCCCCAAACAAATTGTATATTTGTTTTCCCCCCCAACACTGGTTGTTAATATGTTTACATTTTTGGGGTTCGGGTTAAAATGGGGTTATTTTTGCTAGGCGATTTCTTTTTTTTCATTTTCCGGTTTAATTCGCAGTGTAAAAAAAGAGATTTTTTTCCATCTACTGAAAAATTATTATTGTTTTCCCCTCGAATTTTTTTTGAACGTTTAGTCGTATTTTTTTGGGGGGCGGTTTGTCGGGTTTATGATTATCGCTTTGGGTGCGAGAGGTCCCGGTCGAGCCCGGAAATCTATTTTTACTTCATCCAAATATCAAAGTAATAAAAATGCAAACTCGAAGAATGCTAATAAGATCTTTAATTGTGTAGTTGAAAAAGTATTTCCAAGACGTTCCAACAGAGTTTTTTTTTGTAGATTGATTTCTACAGTAACAATTCACACATTTGTTTACCAACCGTAACAAGGCTCGGTGGTCTAGGGGTATGGTTCTCGTTAAGGGTGCTAGAGGTCCCAGGTTCAAATCCTGTTCTAGCCCGAAGTACTCTTTCGTTTCTAGGTTATGTATCGATTTCACAGAACGATTAACTGTTAATTGACGACACCATTTCAATCAGCGCGAGGGTATTGGACATGAAATACGTGAGTTTCGGGATACATCTGGAGAGACAGCCTAACACATGAACTGCCAATTGCTTTTTCCCAAGCAGATTTTTTTGACAGTTTCAACCCGTACCATATCTTACCCCTTCTTCCTACCATATTGCGACTCATTTGATCTTCGTTGTACGCTTTCCCAACTACTCGTTTCCTGACGTGAACTAATGCTATCCGAACTACCTGTTCCTATCTCAATCTCGTCATATTTCTTATGACGATATATTCTCACTTGATCGACATTGACCGTTAACCTTTTTCCCGACCGCCCCATATGATTACATTATTCTTTCTTTCTTCTAACACCCAATACGGACCTTCAAATTTTGGCTTGAACTTTGCCACATTTTTTTTTGCTGAACTTAAAGGGTGCGTTTCTAACGAGACCCAGTCATTCACCTTAATTTCTACGTCACGCCTGCGTCTATTATAATACTTCTCCCATTTTCATGTTTATCTTTTGTGTTTCGTCTAACCGCATCAAACAATTTTTCAATATCTCCTACTGTAAACTCAGTTCCGTCCGATACCATAATTAATTTTTGAAATGGGGTAATCAACTTTCGACCCAAAAATAATTCCGCGGGGGTTTTTCCAGTCATTTCATTCACTGCTGTACGAATAGCATAAGTAAACTTACGTAAGAATTGGTCCCATGTATCATGTTTATCATTTTAATTATTTGCAATCATTTGCACCAGATCGCGATTCACACGTTCGTTTCTATTTGCCTGAGGCCTATATACAACATTCTTCACATGCCTTATGCCTAATCTTTCACTTAAATGTTCAAAAATTTCGAATATAAATTTGGGACCATTTTCACTTATTAATTTTATTGGAGCTCCAAAAGGAGATATAAAATTATCAAAAAAAGTATCCGCTATTACACGAGCCGAGGCCTTTTTAAGAGGTATAATTTCAGCCCATTTGCTGAAATGATCGGGAATTACTAATACATATCGATTACGTCTCACTCTCGATGTAGTCTACAGACCTAACAAATCTAACGTAACTATCTCATTTGGATAATTTGATACAATCGGATTTAATCGAAGCGCTGGTAACGCGTTTTTATAATTATTAACTTGGCACATATGGCATGTAGAGACATATTGTGACGTCTCTCGCGTTCTTCTAACATAACTCCTACGTTCTTTGACGGCCACGATTAATGGCAAAACTTTTCCAACCCAATACCAAGAACAGAAACAGGGCGAAAATGCAAATAAGATATACTTTAAAAGGATAGAGGGTTTAGTGAGACGGGACAGCAATCTTAGAAATAACTTAGTACGGAACAGTTCGGAACAAGTGTTAGACGACCTACTCGCAACGCAGAAGGATACGCCCATCTTCGTTAATATTGTTAATTATAAGAAGGAGTAATAGTGCCGGAGTATACTTATCTACAAGTAGCAGAATAGGAGTGTCTTCAACCAAGGTAGGAGGGTTACTCTATAAAAGGTAATATTTTGTATAGGAAGTTAGATTAGGCAGATAATTAAATATAATTAAGGTAAGTGATCTAGTTGTGCGATCTGACTTAAATATTCAGATTAATTTGTGGCTTATTCTCACTTAAAGAAAGTTGTTATTTAGAATTAAGTAATTTAAGTTATTCTTAATAAAAGTTGTGTTAAGAATTACAAAATGTCTCATCTTTTAGATAATCCCACACCTCTAGCTTACGCGGATCCAACAAGACATAGCTATCGCAGGATGGCTATGTCACAATATTGATTAATAAATTTTCTCATATACAGGAAATAACAAACGTTCCTTATTTTATGATCAGTCTTAAAACGACCAAAATGAGAGAATTTCACGACGGGCTTGTCGTGAAATTCTCTCATTATTTCATTCATTAAAGACTTTGGAATGTATACTCGCATTTCACCCAGTGAAGTCGCATTTTTCGCATAAAATAACAAGCCCTCTATAAGTTTGAAGGCTCTTGACCAATTCTCCCATATCGTCGCATTAACTGAGCTATCTTCCGGGTTTTCTAAATATCTATAGATATGACCTATTTCTGGGTCATTCTTTTGCTCTGTTATTAACTGTTCTCACGACGTATGTACCAAATCTCTCATTATTGCACAATTAACTTTCTCTCCCATTATACTTTCAACCGGGTTTCTGGATAATAGTCCGCCACCGCATTTTGAGTTTCTTGCTTATGTTCCCATTCTATATTAAATTCTGCTAATTTCAGTGTCCATCTGATCATCCTACCCGACAAATTTTTTCCATGAGTTAAACGCGTTAAAGCATCTAGATCAGTAATAACTTTAATCGGCAGTGATCCTAAATATGTTCTGAATTTATTCAGCACCCAAACTACTGCTAAACATTCTCTCTCTTTTACAGTATAATTCCTCTCAGCGTTGCTAAGTGTACGCGAAGCAAATACAACTGGTCTCTTTTCTGATTTAGAACCGCTTCCACACCTATTGAACTTGCATCTGTAAATAACTCGAAAGACTTTTTGAAATCCGGCAATTTTAAAATTGGCGTCTTTGTTATACCCGCCTTGACCACCTCGAATGCCTCCTGTGCCTCAATTGACCAGAAAAAAATTTTTGATTTTCGCTTAAGATTATAATGGGGTTCGTAAAGATCAGCATAATTTTCAATAAATTTTGCGTACCACTGGGACATACCCAAGAACTTGGATACCTCCTTGGAATTACGAGGTGACTTCATCTCAAGTATGGCTCGAACCTTTGTCTCATCTGTTTTGATTCCCTCCTTACTAATAATCAATCTAAAACTTCAATTCATCACAACCAAATCTACATTTTTCTTTGTTTAATGTCACAATCCTGCATCTTGTAATAACGTAAAAACTTCCCTTAAATGCTCAACATAATGAGTGAATGATGGAGACTAGATAATTACGTCATCCTTATATACATTCACAAACCTCCCTATCACCGGTTTCAATATAATTTCTATCGCCTTCTGAAAATTGAGAGCCGCCCCTGATAAGCCAAATGGCATACGCCGAAATGCGTAGGTGCCATTTTTACTATGAACGCGGTCTTAACAATATCACTGGGGTTTACTGCCATTTGAAAGTAACCACTTCTTAGATCAAGAGATGACATTATTGTCGCGTATAGGGGATATTCGTTATTAAATCATCTATTAACGGTAAGGGATAGCGTGGATACCTCGTGGCTGAATTAAGTTTCCTATAGTCAACCGCAAATCTACATGCTTCCGGATTATCCAGTGGTAACCCATTCTTTTTTTACATAACACAACTGGTGACGCGTACGGGGATTGAATTGGAACTATGGTTCCTTCTTCCAACATTTTCTCAATATGATAATCGAGTATCACTTGCTTTTGCCTATCATACCTGTACGGCCTGGAAACAACCGGTGGACTATCTCCCGTATCAATTTCATGGTATAAAACAAGAGTAAGACCTGGTTTATCCAAAAACAATCCCTTAAAACTACTAAACAAATTTTGTAACTCCTGTTTTTGCTTATCCTACAACTTTGTCTTAGACAGATCTTTTCTACATTTCCTTCCTTAAATGTTTTAACCATCTTATCTATTTGCGAATCGGGAATCGTTAACGATTTTCGATCAAAGTCTAAAACAATCTTTGATCCACTTATGAAATCTACCCCGAGAATACATGGGCATTCCAAATCTGTCAACACATGAAACAACCAAGGCTTTTCAAACTCCCTAATTCGAGTATTCAATTCTACAAATCCTACATTTTGACATTTCGCTCACTGTGCCGTGATCACCTGAGTACGAGATTTTTTTTACTTGCTTATAAAAAGAATATTTTCTGTATATTTCTTCAGATATAAATGACTTCTCCACTCCAGTGTCCCATAACGCTTTCGTAAATGTTTCATTTAACAAAATAAGAACATATGGAAGTTCCACTGGAGACATACATATCACAGAAAGTTTAATCGGTATATCCACTGC